CCAATAATATGTTGTATACAAGAAACACACCTAGTGCAAAAAGAAGCCCATAGACTGAAAGTGAAAAGATAGAAAACAATTCTCCATGTGACAGGAGCCCAGAAAAAAACAGGGGTAGCAATCTTATTTGCAGACAAAGTAAATTTCAAACCAAAACTGAATCTAGTACTATTGATGTAGGACAGTACTGTGTCATACCTCAATGAATATAAAATATCCAGTACCTGCTTTATGATACATAGTAGGGACCGTGCTTTATCAGAGCTACATTTAATGATATTACTCTAGAATGTTCTCTTTCCAGATGATGATTACGAGACTAACAGAAAAAAATGGTGCCAGGTACCACCACAACAGCAACAGAACTTTGCTGTTGTCTGGATATTATTCTTTTCTTTTTTTTTCTTTTTTTTTTTTTAATGGAATGTGCTGAATGTCTATAATTTTGTTCAGATGACTGCAGAACCTGGAAAAACTGTTGCTGCTATTGATGCATAACATACTATTATTAGTCTTTCTACACACACACACACACACACACACAAATTGAATTTTGGGAAACTTTAACGGTGCTGCCAACTTTGGAAAAAGTCATCCCAATTTACTGTGTTGAGTTGGCATTGTACAGAAATGGACAATCATATTGGTCTAGAAATGTTAATTTATTTTTTTTTTATTTTTTATTTTTTTCCCTGTGTACAGGGTAACACATCGTACTAAATATGTAAGGTCATATCTACGTGGATTTGATTACAGAAACTAATAAAGTATTCTCTAAATAATGAAAAAAAGAATAAGATAAGACTATAAGAGCGAGAAGCAATTTAAATATGTTCAGGGACCATTTTCATCTCCAAAATTAAGGATTATTTTAATGTTACATCATTGCCTTTTCTCTTTTACTTTCCTTTTTAGTTTTATTTTAGGATTCCCTATTTTTAATGTTCATACAGAGATTTCTTTAACTGAAATACCGAATAGTTTCTTTGTTATGGAAAACTATAATAGTACACAGGATCCTAATGAGATAATTAATAATGCGAAATAGGAAGTAAAGGGCTAAAGGTGTAGGAAAAGTGGGAAGGGTGGGGGAAAGGTAATAAGGGAGAGGAAAAAAATATGAGAAACTGAAAAAATGGAAATAAAGTGTTTGTAAATAGGGAGGGGAGGAGGGGGTGAAGGGAGGGCAGGGACAAGGGGAAAAATGAGAATCAAGACCTATTATGTAAAGGTACAGAATCCCAATGATGAATGTAATTGTATTGTATACCTAGATTGTACCAATAACCTCAATAAAAAGAAAAAAATATATAATCTCTATGTTTTTGTAAAAGTGTGTATTTCTTGCCAGGTGTGGTAGCGCACGCCTGTAATCCCAGCACTCGGGAGGCTGAGACAGGAGGATCACTGTGAGTTCGAGACTAGCCTGGGCTACATAGTGAGTTCCAGGTCCAGGTCAGTCTCA